ACTGTTTTTTTTTTGTTTGTTTTTTTTTGGTCTTTGGAAATGTATTTAATTGAAAAATGTATTTATTTATTCATTTATTTTTACATTTTCGCAAACCTTCTAGCACCCGCTTGGTGTCTGAGTTTCTCCGGACCCCAGTTTGAAAACCTCGGATCTAAGCAATACTTTCTTCCTCTGGTTTGTTATTATGAAGAAAAGGCTTTTTTCTCTAACATTTCTTTATTCTGTCTTTTCTCATCAGATTCTCATGGAATGGACCTTTTCGCAGTGGCAGTGCATGAGTTTGGCCATGCCATAGGGCTCGCACACACTTCTGCCATTGAGTCCATCATGAGCCCTTACTACCAGGGGCCAGTGGGTGACCCACTCAAGTACAACCTCCCGTACGAAGACAAGATTCGCGTCTGGCAACTTTACGGTAAGAATGTCCACCCCTTGGTCACGTCTGGCTTCTTTCTTTTTCCTGTACCTCCTTCCTCTCCATCAGTTAGCTGAAACCAGGCGCTGTGGCAGACTGGCAGACTGTGTGAGCTGAGATCTTCAATCAAACGTGGGCACCCCGCTATAACTGTTTGAATCTCAGATACCTTGGCATTGTTGGAGAAGCAAAAAAAGTGACAAGTAGCAACAACAGTCTCTCTGCAAGACATACAGACAGATAGATGCTGTAATCATCTGAGGGGAAGTCGTGGCTTAATGGTTAGAGAGTCGGACTCGTAACCCAAAGGTTGTGGGTTTGAGTCTCGTACCGGCAGGAATTGTAGGTGGGGGGAGTGAATGTACAGCGCTCTCTCCCACCTTCAATACCACGACTGAGGTGCCCTTGAGCAAGGCACTGAACCCCCAACTGCTCCCCGGGCGCCGCAACATAAATGGCTGCCCACTGCTCCGGATGTGTGTTCACGGTGTGTGTGTGTTCACTGCTGTGTGTGTGTGCACTTTGGATGGGTTAAATGCAGAGCACTAATTCCAAGTATGGGTCACCATACTTGGCCACATGTCACATGTCACGTCACTAATCTGTCGACAGATAAGACACTAAAAATGAGTTGTGCCTGCTTATAGCGCAGTTACATGCGTTGTCTGCGTCGTTTTATTGCCATATTCACTAAAAGAACTAGAATCAGGTGCCACAAATAAGCCAGCAAAATCTTCATAACACAGTTTCGTAATTTCTTATCTTGTGCATCTATTCTGAGTGCACAGATATGGATAAAGCAGCCATTGTATTTAATGTATTTAGTAGAATCAATGGAAATAGCATTTTTAGTTGTCAGGTGTGCAAAATTAAACCCAGTTTTTAAACATAATTATTATATTTTATTATTTTAATATATGTATTATATTATATGCCATTATATGTGACCCTGGACCACAAAACCAGTCTTAAGTTACACGGGTATATTTGTAGCAATAGCCAAAAATACATTGTATGGGTCAAAATTATTGATTTTTCTTTTATGCCAAAAATCATTAGGATATTAAGTAAAGATCATGTTCCATGAAGATATTTTGTAAATTTCCTACTGTAAATATATTAAAACTTAATTTTTGATTAGTAATATGCATTGCTAAGAACTTCATTTGGACAGCTTTAAAGGCGATTTTCTCAATATTTGGATTTTTTTTGCACCCTCAGATTCCAGATTTTCAAATAGTTGTATCCCGGCCAAATATTGTCCTATCCTAACAAACCATACATCAATAGAAAGCTTATTTATTCTGAAACCCAGAATTTACCCTTATGACTGGTTTTGTGGTCCAGGTTCACATATTGTATTTTGTTATTTTAATGTATTTATTAGGTTTAATGTTTTTTTTATTTATTATATTGTATGTTAATGAATACAATAATATATAATATTATATTTAAATCCAATGAATATTATATTCATTATATTCAGACATTATTATTATTATTATCATTATATTCATTTATACATGTGCCAACCACTGTTATTTTAGTATCATTGAGATACTTATATAGATTTTATTAATATTTTGAATTAGTTTTTATTTTTATATTTCATTTTTATTTTAATTATTGTTAACGTTTTAGTAAATGTTCTGTTTTTGTAATTATTATTATTATTATTATTTTAATATGTCTGTATAGTTTTTAAATATAGTTTGGAAATGAGAAATGCTGCCTTGGCAACTAGCTGAAAAAAAAGTTTACTTTTTTTTATTTTATTTTATTTCAGTTAACAAATAGTACCGAAGTACTGACAATGTTTTAATGTTTTTACTTCTAATTAACTATAATAACCCTGGTGTCAACATAGAAGATGTGTTGCTGATGTGTAGTGTACTATTGTATTATAATGTTGTTAATTCCCTATGTGCTTTAGTTGTTTAGTTAGTTATCTAATTAGTTAATTATTTTTTTAGTTTGTGTTTTAGGGAGTTGTTATGGAAATAGTGCATCCATGTTACTGCACATTCTGACTGGCACATAAAAGTGGTTCAATAGTTCTCCTCCATCCCTTCCCACTCACACTACCTTGTTTTTAGCTGAAGTGCCCATTGTAATTTGGAGTGATTGGCACTGCATCCCCCCTCTACAGGCTGCCCTCTTCTGTGATCCCACCAGGCAAATAACAGGCCCCAAACGAGGGGCGCAGAGAGCAGAAGTGATTTGGTTTGTATAGGGGCACTATTGATTTAATTACATGGCAGTGTTGAGCTAGGCTAGGAGCACAGGGATTAATTGGTCGTAACCATGATTTGGAACCTGCTAATCAGCATGCAGAATGCCAAACGGCACTGCAAACACACATGGTGGGAATCAAAGAGATAGAGTGATGGTTATGGATAGGGATAGAAGGATCAAGATGGGCTCAAAGACAAACAGTTAGTGCCAGGAGCTCTGGAACTCAGAATAGTATTGGTGAATGCGGGCCATGTGTATAGTTTCTGCAGTTTAATGATTGTGCACATTCTCTTGAGTTAAATACCACTGCTTTTTGTCCAATTAATTAACCCTTATTTGCTGCTGAGATTGACATTACTGTCTTTATTTTAATAATAGTATTTCGTAGTTAACTCTGCTTCTCAGATTGTTCTCTTGAGAAAAAGATCCCAGTAATCTGTCTTCTTGTGTGTTTCATCTCGATAATGCCTCAAGTTGTGCTCTGACATTTCAATATGAACTGAACTAAACAGTCTCCAAAGACCAAATTATCTCAGCCATGCTGTCCACACCGATTTTATAGCTCAATTCTCTTACTGTATTATCAGCAGTTGATATACGGTATAACAGTCTCACTTGTGTCTCCTTTTTTAAGAGGAATATCTGATACAAAGTTAAAAAATACGACATAACTGAGAACGAAGAAAGAAGTCATAGTTTCATAATTAACCACGTTATGTTATTCTTATCTTTTTTATTTTTATTATTGCGGTTTTTTTTACCTTCGGTCACTTGATGGGACCCCAAACATGAGTCACATTTTGTAACATTTTTGACAGGGGATGTTGCATGCATGTTTTTAAGGCACATTTTTGTTTATAAGTTATCAAATGATTATAAAACCTGTTACGTATCAACCAGACACAAAATATGTATGTTTTACTGTATATGTTTTTGGGCTATTAAACGGTCCCCAAACAGGTTAAAAGCTAAAGAAATAACATTCTTTGAAAATATATATTATTTGATTTGGAACAAAGTAGGAATGCACTTGTGCATTTTGTTGGTTGTTAAACGTTGTGCTCTTTAGCTTAGTTTTATTTTTACTTGCACATTATTACTCGTACGTTTTCTCTGTCTTATGTGGCAATGCATGCAGTAGTTTTGCAAAACTCATTTTCTGAGACTGGCTGTTATCTCTAACTTTAGAGTGATTATTTGAGTGTAATAAAGTTTGTCAAAAAGACTGCACTTAGTGTGTGTGTTCCTCTCAGAAATGAGGCAGTTTTATGCTTTTGTGCCAGTTGAACTCGCCTTGTGTTTTGTCAGGTGTTCGGGAGTCCGTATCGCACACGACGCAGCCAGATGACCCCTCTCAAACGGCCGAACCTCCCGTCCTGCTTGACCTCCCCAAAAACAGATCCACGATACCGTGAGTCAACAAGCACGCACCAACAAAACCCACACTCCTCTGGCCAGCGTGTCTTGTATATTTTGAATTGCAGAGGTAGCAGTCTATCATTTAGAAAGAGAGTATGTATGGACTTCATAATGCGCCCGCAACTGCATTCAACCTTCCTGAAGCAAATACCAGAATGACACAAATTACAGACTCAATTCCTGACTCCTAGTAAGCAAGCATTTAGCTGCTCTGAGAGCAGCGTGCACCTCTCTATTTCCTCTCTCTCTACATCTTGACAGCAGACACGTGAGACAGGTAGACTTAGTTTGACAAAGGTCAGTAATATACTCCTCTCAGAGAGCTCAGCTAATAAACTGTGAATGAAGATCTTTGTTAATAAAGTATCAGACGAGTTCCAGCTCACAAAAGCAGCTCTGTGACCGTAATTGCTCCATCATTAGCATCCCAGCCACGTCAAAGTGCTAAGTCAGTCATTAGCCGAGGGGATAACGCATTCAGAGATTCTGTTGCAAGCTGGTAATAACATCTTCATTGATTTGCCCAATCTTAAACCATGCACATAATAAGGACATTCGGGACTGGTTGCATATAGCCGTAGCTAGCCAAAAATATTCATATATAGGCTTACGGTAAAAGTGCTAATGCTTTCAAACTAGCACTGACGGCTTGTGCTGATTCAAAACTGGATATTTAAATGGTGGCGTAAGAAAGTAGTGCATATTTTAGAAAACCTGAAAAATGTCTTGAGTTAAATAAATGTACATGTGTCAGCTGTGGTATACACTATTTTATTGTATTTTATTTTATATTTAAATTTTTATATTTTTTATTTATTCTATTTTCGATTACATTTACTTTCTATTTTATGTTTATATCTTTAATAGCCGTAGCTAGCCAAAAATATTCATATATAGGCTTACGGTAAAAGTGCTAATGCTTTCAAACTAGCACTGACGGCTTGTGCTGATTCAAAACTGGATATTTAAATGGTGGCGTAAGAAAGTAGTGCATATTTTAGAAAACCTGAAAAATGTCTTGAGTTAAATAAATGTACATGTGTCAGCTGTGGTATACACTATTTTATTGTATTTTATTTTATATTTTAATTTTTATATTTTTTATTTATTGTATTTTCGATTACATTTACTTTCTATTTTATGTTTATATTTTTATTTAATTTTTACTTTTTTATTTTATTTTTACTTTTTGAATTTTGCTTTTATTTGTTTTATATAACTTTGTTATTTTATATTATTTTATTTATTTGTTATATTCTTTTATGTATTTATTTATTGTACATTTTGTAGCATTTTTATGTATTTTATATATCTTTTTCATTTTATATTATTTTATTTGAAAATTTTAGCATTGTATTTAGTTATTTGTTTATTGGTTTTGTTTTGACTAAATACAAAGCAACTTTTGCCCGTTCCAGCCAGAAGGTGAAGTTAAAACGTCCACCAGTAGGGGCTAACTAGACCATGTATACCAGCTAAACCGTGACTCCTCTGCTATTTTCGAAATTGTTGACTCTGGATCATGTAATTATTCAAAATTATTTCTGCATTGCATTGAGGCTGCATGACCACCTCGAGGTGTGCATACATTTTAAATAATTCAGTGGTCTGTCGTCAATTATTCCTTCCATAATCCATTATTTACTCATGTAGAGACACAAACACTTCTACTAGTGAAAGTCTTGTGCTCTTGTTTTAAGTTTATCCATTTAATTTCTTTTCTCTTGTACTTTCTCACAGACCTGCCCATGATGCCCCTGACAGATGCACTAGTCACTTTGATGCTGTAGCCCAGATTCGAGGGGAGGCCTTCTTTTTCAAAGGTAAGAGCACCCTGAATTCCACAGTGAAATCAATAGCTTTAGCAATAGACCAAGTATAAAGTAAATATCTTGCATTTTTAAAATAAAATGAATGTAATTTAAAAAACCATAATTGCATGACATATTATGACTAAAACTGATATTATGATGATATTAAGATATTAATAACTGATATTAAGACACTATATATATTGAATGTTTAACTGTTTAATTTTATTATCCTATTAGAAAGATCAAGTTTAAACACAAAATTTTAAAATAAATAAAATAAAATAATACAAATAAATACATTTACAAATTTGGTAAAAAATATATTTTTGCTTTTTAAGTATCTTGTAGGTTTTACTGGAAAAACAAGACCGAAAGTATTGATTAAGGGATATATATATATATACACACACAATTTTTTTTTATTATTTATATTCATATTTTCTATTTTATTTATTATTTAATTTTTGCATTATAATACTTCAAATCAGTTTTGTGGACACACAAAAAAAAGATTTTTATTTTATTTTATCATGAATTTGAATTTCTTGAACTTGGACTGCTGTGAAATTGTTTTGGTTTCCTGTTTAGTCATGAATGTGCTGTCTGCAGACAACTGCTGTCTGCATTTTGATATATTATCATTTGTGCACTGTATTTGCTTGGCTGGTTCTGCCAGCTGGGCACCATCCTCCCCACTGCACCGGGGCATGCACACATTCCACGCTTTATTAATCACTGTTCCTTGTACATCATATGATAGCACATAATTACACCATAAGCTTACATAAACATACATTCTTACTATCAAACCTCTCGTCAGGGAAGTATTTTTGGCGTCTGACACGTGAGAAGCACCTGGTGTCATTAAGGCCAGCTCAGACCCATCGCTTCTGGAGGGGTTTGCCTGCCAACCTGGACAGCGTGGATGCTGTATACGAGAGACCTGGAGACCATAAGATAGTGTTCTTTAAAGGTAAATGCCTGGATTTAATCTCTTATTAAGTTAATATTTAATGTAACCCTTCAATATAACCTTTACTTTAATTATTACTCATACATCTTTTTGTCAGAATTTCTTACCTTAAGTATAACATTTTGGCACATAAGTCATCCTGAACTGAATGAGTGCAACACCTTAGCATTGTGGTGTCGAGTTTTGCACAACACATGTACTTCAGAAAATGTCCAAATCTAGTTTTACACTGTGATTTTTGCTTTTGGCAGTCAGTAATCTGAGGTAATTCCACAGTTAAAGAGATCAAGAACATCTATCAAAAGCTCTTTAAAATTATTTTGTGCAATATTTCAAAAAGACCCTCTGATAATGTAGTTAATTCCAAACATTTTAAGCAAAATGCTCCCTAGGGCGTAAACACTCACTCTTAGGAAAATTCTCGAAATGATTGGAATTTAACACTCTCGAGTTATGTAAATGTCTTTTTTTAATAAGAACTGGACTGTAAAGCAAACAATGTCCTTCAGAGATATAATGCGTGTTTTGAAGTCGTACCTCAAATCCAATTTCAGCTCAAAAGCAAGGAGGTAAAAAGAACATGTTATGTATATTTAGAGCATTTAAATGTATTTCACAGCAGGTCTGTGTTTTCTAATCTGGTCTGCTGGTAGCCTACAGTTTTCCCACTTCACAATAAGTCATTCTAAATTCTTTAGGTGGGAAATATTGGGTGTTCAAGGACAATAATGTTGAAGAGGGCTACCCACGGGCTGTCACTGACTTCGGACTGCCTGCGGAAGGAGTGGATGCAGTATTTGTCTGGCTGCACAATGAGAAGACCTACTTCTTCAAGGACAACCATTACTGGCGCTATGATGACCATCTGCGACACATGGACCTCGGCTACCCAAAAGATACGGCGCTGTGGAAAGGGATCCCACCTCAACTGGATGATGCCATGCGGTGGTCTGACAGTAAGTATTGTGAATCGTATAATGTCTTGAATTTTAGGCAGCTCTCCTGGATGTTTTCTTTTAAAGCCACAAAAAATTTATCGTTTTCTTTCCAGGATGAAAAAGCCGACATGAATTTCCGTGCTTGTCTAGGCTGTTTCATACCGGTTTACTGTTGAACTAGGTCAGGGGTAGGCAAGTTTGGTCCTAGAGAGCCGCAGTCCTGCAGAGTTCAGCTCCAACCCTAATCAAACACACCTGAACAAGCTAATCAATGTCTTCAGGATTACTAAGGCTATAGGCAGGTGAGTTTTTTTTCAGGGTTGGAGCTGAACTCTGCAGGACTGCGGCTCTCTAGGACCGAACTTGCCTACCCCTAATCTAGTTGAAGGGATAAGTCCATCCAAAAATGAAATTTCTGTCATCATTTACTAATCCTCACATCATCCCAAACTTTGTGACTTTGTTTCTTCTGTGGAACATAAAAGTAGATATTTCAAATAATGTTGTTAACCAAACAGTTTCTGTTCCCATTGAATTCCATTATGTGGACAAAAACTAAAATCGAAATCCACTGGAACCAAAACAAAATATCTTCTATGGACTCACATTTCCTGTGGACAAGGCCTCAGAAGCTTACGGGTAACAGTGGTGAACAGAATCTATAACAAATATAATTCTTGCATTTCCATTTACTCCAATAGCAAAAGAAAAAACATCTGTAATAGCATTTCTGTATGCTCTTCAAAAGAGAAAAAAAAAATATTACAAGATTGATTATGTCTTAACTGGAAGAGGGAAAGATGTCAAATTTGCTGTCACTCCCTCAACTACTGTAACTGCGCAGAAGCATTAACTAGTTTTCTGTAATCAAATGCCAAGGTAATGAAACAAAGTGTGTTATAAATGTACATTACATTTTTAAAAATGAGAATGTAAAAAAAAAAACTTTGCTCTCTCTAGGTCCGAACTTGCCTACCCCTGAACTAGGTGGAGGACAGCATAGCCAAAAACAAAACGATTTGTCTCCAGACAAAACGTAACGACACAAAACATTAAAGACACAATGAAATTGTAATTTAGAGCATATCTGTTAGCTTTAAGACTGTTGATATGTTCTCAAAAGTTGACAAAATCTACTTTTTGTAGTATCATTTTGGAAAATGGAACAAAAATTTTGTACATGCAGATGTCCAATAAAATGGTCTCTGAAATGAGAACATCCCGCCATCTAAAAAATGTATACTGTGTATAAATGCCTCAAAATAGCAATAGCAAGTAGCAAATCATTTTATATACAAATAAAGTATTTTTTATTATTATTATTATTATTATTATTCATTTATTTAGGCAGTGACATACAAAAAAAGCTGTTGGGTGCTTTTAAAAACTGAGCACCTCAGCATCTGTTATTTTAGTATTATTTATAGTATATACTATTATTTATTGTGTTTATTAATATTTTGAATCAGATTTTATTTTTATATTTTCAGTTTTCATTTTAGTTTCATTTTTATTTAGTAATGTTATGTTCTTTAATCTTTTATTAGTTTATTAAATAATTAGTTTTGGGGTTTTGTAATATTTTTATTTGGCTTTATTTATTTCAGTTTTATTTTTAGTAATTTTAAGTCTTTTTTCTTTAACTTTAACTGTAATTTTAGTTTGTTGACGTGACAAGATTTCTAATTTTTTTTTTTTTTTTTTAAGGTTTTTCATCTAGTATGCTTATTTCAGATATATTTCAATTAACAAACGTTTTTTGTTATTAACGAAACACTTTTAATAGTTTTGCTTAATAATAACAACACTGTTCAGCATGCTCTCAGCTTCCAGTTTCAATTGAAAACACAGGAAAGGAAACTAGCCTTATCAAGAAAATAAAAATCCTTATATTAGCCACTTTCCTCTTAAAATTAATAAAAATTAACTCATTATCTTACATCATGTGCAGTACATATCCAGCAACATCTTAAAAATTGCTCTTTAATGCTGTCATATAAAGACATGCTTTTTTACATACTGGTAAAAAAATGTATAGCCTGAATTCGCTTTGGATAAAAGCGTCTGCTAAATGCATTAATTTTTTTATTTAATTATTATATAAAGGGATTGTGCACAGTTTTACGACCCTGATTCGCCTTGGAAGATATGATTGTATTTCGGTGGAGAGAATGTTAGCCGGGCAGGTGTTTTGATTGTGTGGTTGTCATAGCAGCAGTTTTGAGGTCTATGTGAGCAGAATGGAGAAAGGGGCATAATGTCCTGTCATGCCTAATGCACGGCATTGTGTCTAATGCACAGTGAGCTCCTTGTGTCCTCAAAAATGAAGAACAGACATTTGAAATTCTGTGGTGGAACGAATCAAGCCTGTGTTAAATAAAATCAAAGCTTGCAAAGCACATAGCTAAGCACTTTCATGTAAAAACACACATACAGCTTCTTTTATTTCCTTCTTTCCGTGTTGTATTACATTAATACTGTCAAAATTTAGTTGATGCATGTAATAATTCAAAAGGTTAACGCTGTTAACCTATGTATTCAATTTGACCAACCCATTGTCAGCATATTCCAATTATGCACAATGATTGATAGGTAGAAAGCCTATTTATGATGCAGGCCACTCTCTCTTTTTCTATTGCTTTTCACAGAGCTTAGGACCGTCACATAGATGAGTATTATTTTTCAGAATACATTTCAGTGATATCTATTAGGACATTTTATGATCGGTATTTAAAAATGTTTATTGCTTCCAGCACCTGCAATTAGCATTGAAGCATTTTGAATATTTTTGAAATGTCACCCACGAGTGAAACTCAGTGGCGGCTCGTCCGGGGATGCAGGGGAGGCACAGCTTCCCCAAAATTTTGAGGTGAAAATGGGAGGAGGACGATTTAATGTTAATAAAATTCACAATTCATTTCAGTTCATATCTCAGAACGTGTATTTTTTGTTTGTAATTTCACAGCTGTAATACCATAACATGTTACTGAAGTTGGAAAGCGCCGCTTTTCTATCGCGAATGTGCCGAATCTGCTGATGTAACAACCGCTAAATGATAGAGAAGGGGAGGGGGAGGCCGGGGGAGAGCTGAGCTCTCGTGCCTCCATTGGAAAAAAAAAATTAGCCAATCAGCATCGAGTGTTCACATTCAGCGCTGAGGAGTGTTGAGAAAAGAAACTTCGTAGAGGAGGCTAGCCTCCCTTCTGGTATATCAACCAATCATCATAGAGACGTAAATTACATGATATTAGTTTGAACGTCTCCCGCTACGCTGATAATGTACCAAGTACTTATGAGTAGCGATATTGAATATTTGATCGCCAGCAGATTTACCAAGCTGTCATTCAAACAGTATATATACAAATTAAAAATAAAGGGAGAACATGCCTAAGTTGGATACAGGCTAACATTACAGCAGTCGGCTCTTTTAACAGACTTTTAAGAAGGGATGGATGTTTGCTTCAAGTGATAGGCCAGGTTAGTGAAATTATATTATCTTGCTATGTGTGGCGTTTTCTTTACGTTTTCTGACTAAAAGCAACCAAAAAGCCATTTTAAAGTGGTTAAGCAAATAATAATAATAATTGGCATTATTAATTTTTTTTCTCCATTCTGTCACCGATGGAGTTTTGGTTCCTTGCCGCTGTCGCCTCTGGCTTGCTTAGTTGGGGACACTTCATTTCCAGCGATATCGTTGACTTGATTGCAAATGATTGCAAAGATACTATTTAAACTGAACTGAGCTGGATGATGACATCACTGAATTGAATGATGAACTGTCTTTAACTGAAAAATTAGTGTTTACTATTGTCATTTTGCATTATTGACACACTATTTTCCTAATTAATGCTGTTCAGTTGCTTTGACACAATCTGTATTGTTAAAAGCGCTATATAAATAAAGGTGACTTGACTTGACTTGACTTGGAAGAGATCCCCAGACCAATACAATTAGTGTGCCTCCTCTATTTTAAAACCCACGAGCCGCCACTGAAACTTACCATCATTTGTGTGAATGTGAAGGCCAGTTATTTTGCATATTATGCATATGTTAACCTATAAAGACATGCAGATGAACATTTTTGGTCATTGTGTCATGTCTCGCAGTTTTTTCCTTAGCATCTCATGTCAAATTTTTTACAAATGGCAAGTTAGGGACCTTTAGGACACATTTAATTTTTGTTTGCGCTGTTTTATCCACCCTGAGAAAACATCTTTGCAGTTTTGCACATTGCTAATTCACACACAAGCATAGTTTTAGGCTCCACTTGACGCACCAGATCTTTTTCCCTGTGGTTCCTCTGTAAGCATAGTGAGGGGCAGAGAAGGTGTCTCATCAGGTGTTGTCCTCTGAGGCTGTGCCAACCCCGCAGGAAGAGCTCTGAACGAGGAGTGAGAGCAGGCCACAGTGACAGTCCCTGGCCTCCAAGGGAGGGAAAGAGTATCAGCCTGAGGAGGTGCTGGCAACAGTATCTTCAAATAGACAGCACCGAAGGCCAATTTCACCTGCAGAGTGAGATGGAGAGAGATAGTAAAGCTCTTTTTCAGATGGGACAAATGCAAGCATTAGGCTGAACCGGAGGAATAGGCTTTCATCAAGTCGCAAAATGTGGTGGTATCCATTGGTGATTCTAGACTCTACCTAGAGGGGCTATTGTCTCGTGTCTTATCCTCCGTAAAACATGATTTATTCAGCTGTCAGAGTAGAGTATTAAAAAAACAGTTTTAAAAAATCAAATTCTGTCATCATTTACGCAGCCTCATGTCGTTCCAAACCCATAGGACTTTCTTTCTTCTGTGGAGCACAAAAGGACATATTAAGCAAAATTTCTCTGCTGCTCTCTTCCATATAATTAAATTAGATGGGGACCAGAAACTGTCAAGCTCACAAAAGAAAAAATAAATAAATAAATGTAATCTGTATGAATTTGTGCCCTTTTCTAAATTCATTTGATAGCTCTATGTGAGGAAAAGACCAAATATCAAGTCATTATCCAATATCTTACTTTAAAAACCTTGCTTAAGGCACAAATCAGAGACATCAGATGATTAGCTGAATCAACTGGACAATTAATTGAAAATGCAATAAGTATTTAACAATCACCATCCATGTGGGTGGGGCTAACTTAACAACAACACCAAAGTTAAAATAAAAAAAAATGGGAGCATCTAATGGACAGGAAACCCCCCTATGGAATGCAGGAAAGATGTATAGTTTCATTAAGACCAAAAGGTTGTTCGCTTTTAACTTGAAAGGTCCAGCGGCTTTCACATTTAAGTAGTCTTTGATCAGTGTTGGAATATACCTACGAGATGAATGAATTCGGTCAATTCCACAAACAGCTAAAGTATGAACGGTGATTTGCATCCTTAAAATGTCTAGCTATTGGAGATTTTAAATCATCCCAACAAAAAGAAGTACAGTGTTGTTTTACCAATGTATAGCGGCTTTCACATTTAAGTAGTCTTTGATCAGTGTTGGAATATACCTACGAGATGAATGAATTCGGTCAATTCCACAAACAGCTAAAGTATGAACGGTGATTTGCATACTTAAAATGTCTAGCTATTGGAGATTTTAAATCATCCCAACAAAAAGAAGTACAATGTTGTTTTACCAATGTATTGTAGCCCACATGGACAAGTCAGAAGATAAACAACATTCGTAGAACTGCAGGTGATGAAACTGGTTATTCTGTGTTGTTTTTTCATAGCAAAACTTAACTTTCTTAGAATTGCAACAAGAATAACAATGCCTGCAGGGAAAAAAAAAAAACTTTTGGGCTTTCCAGAGGCTTGACACATCCATCCACAGACACATCACAATCTGCATGCACCAAACGGTCTCTAATAGTTCGTCCTCAATAGTTCGTGATCAAAAAGAGGTTAAATATATTCTTTCCAACATTTTCAACTGATAACACATGCCAATGTTTCGAAATAATATTTTTTATTTCAGCACTGAGAGGACTAAATGTGGTACAACAAATGATACGCAAGGAATTACTGTCTTGAGACTTTCTTAGCTGAAGGATCAAAAGAACACACTCTCTCCAAGTCTGAATCCAGCCATCTTTTTGGATATCGTCTTTGAATAACCTGATTGTATAAAGTCTCAGCTTGTCAATCGAAATCATCTATACTGCTACAGATTCTTCGTAATCATAAAAATTGACTATAGGGTATACTTAATTTCAGAGATTTTAAAGAGAAGTGATATACCTTATGTTATACCCTATTTTTGAATCAGGAGACTGAAAAAGTGACTCCACATCTCGTTCAACCAATTTGCAAAAAGTAGTAATAGGAGTACTTAGTCTGAGGACAAAATCAGTCTGATTTCATTGAAAATCGGTCTGTTGTCAGTGCTATGTGCACTTTGATTCTATGTCAAAACATTATGATCATCCCTACAAAAGAAATGTTTCAATTTGATAGTCTGATTTTTTTTTTTAAACAATTCAACCTTTGACTGAAAGGGATAAGGAACAACAGTAAGACAAACCCTTATTAAGAATGGAAATTTCAGAAGCAGTTAATGAATGATCAGATAAATTGAAAACTAGACCGTGGGAGTCATCTGGATGGTCCGTCTGGTGTTGTATCTCCATCCACCTCGAACCTCTCTTGCCTCTGCAACCCATCTGGACCCGTTTTGATGTTTGGATCAGCCCCTGTTGAATGGGCGGCCTCTTAAAAAAATCTCAGAGGCACTGGAGCCAGAGGTGGAACATGATGTCGAATGAAATCTCTTGGGTTGTGGATGTTGTATAGCCACGGATATACCCATCCATCTCGGTAATCCACTGTGTCTCTCTTGAATTTCTTAAGCTTGATTTTGCAAATCTCTTGACGATACTTGGTAATCGTAGAGTCCAGAGAAATTTTGAGTGATTAAAAATCTGGCTCAGTCGTCACACTACGTAGTTGTTGTTCCGTGGAAGAAATTTGCTTGTTGATCTCATCCAACGCTTTCTGAACAAACTCAATGACAAGCACTGTGAGGTCAAGTGAAGCTTTGTTCAAGATCTCACACCATTTGATGCAAAAAGATTGATTGTGATAGCCTAGAGTTGGTTCCTTCTGAATTCGGAGATCTCTAGGAATCCGTTTGGATCTCACATACTCACTAAGAGTCGACCCATCGAGAAAAAACGTGTTTTCTTCTTTTCCAAACCAAGGAGATTCTTAAAATAATGATCTTTAGTCTCAGTGCCAATGTTCTCAGGATCCTTGAACAAAATTGCCTCAATATCTTGAAGGGAAAATGAACTGGTAATTGCTTGATTATCAGTCAACTTATTAATGTAGGCAAAATTGGACATAATCCAAAAAAAGTAAAAAGGTTTAAACACAGATGGCAGCAGAAAAACAGAAATCCAATAAGTAAAAAAAATATGAAAACATTCTGTGCCAATTGAGTAAAATAGAAAATATAATTGGGAGGGTGCATATATTCAATCAATGGAAAAAATACTAAAAGAAAAAAGGAATCCACACAACAAACAAAATACAAAGATCAAGGTCCTTTGAACAAAAATATATTTTTTTGTCAGCCAATCAATTCTCAGACAACTAGGAATGTAAAACAGACCACCTGTATCCACAGACTACAGTTTGAGAAGCACTGCTCAAAGCTCATCATATTCTACTACAATATTACTGGGGGTCAAGCCCCCCAAAGCTCAAATTCTAGTATTTCCCCATGTGGTCTCAAAACAGGAAATAGAGTTGACAAAAGCCGCAGAGGGAAAAGTGAAACCATAATAATGTGTATGCCAGATGAAAGCAAGTCTGAAAAATCCATTCTACGCATCAACCTGCATTTTATTTGCTTGTATTTTTCACTTTCCCTTCCCAGGAGCGTCATATTTCTTCAAGGGAAAGGAGTACTGGCGTGTGGCAGGCAGTGATATGGAGGTTGAAGCGGGTTATCCGCGTACCATCGGCAAGGACTGGCTGATGTGCACGGAAATGCAGTCGGACTCCCCGGAGATGCAGAACAACTCGAACACGAGGCTTCACGGGCAGCACCACGCAGACCATGCAGAAAATGGCTATGAGGTGTGTTCCTGCACTTCGGACTCAGCCTCCCCATTGGGGACGCAACTGACCTTCTCGCCCGCCTGGGTGTTAGCGCCACTCTGGACACTCACACTCGTTCTCTCCTCTGCTCTTCTCTGATAAGGGCAGAGCCACAGGCCTGTACTCAAAAAGACTCCAGGAGCAGAACATACAGCAGCCTGTGGGTAAAGAGAGTGTTAAAAAGTTCTGGAAAAGCCTTTTGCCAGCACCGGACTGATGGAAAGGCCTCAGCACTTCAGTCAAGGGGGATTGGATCACATTCACATTTTCTTTTTCTATTTTGATGCTTTTCGTTGATGTTTTTTTCTAGAAAATGGAAATTCTATTATAATTATTATTACTATTATTATTATTATTATTAGTGGTGCTTGCTGATCAAAGGGTGAAAAATTAAAAATTGCTGCAGATTAACCGTCAGGCTATCCAAAATGTTGTTGAGTTTGTTTCTTCATCGGAACAGATTTGGATAACTTTAGCATTACATCACTTGCTCACCAATGGATCCTCTGCAGTCAATGGGTGCCGTCAGAATGAGAGACCAAACAGCTGAAAAAACATTATAATAATCCACAATCAATCTACATGACTCCAGTCCATGAATTAACATCTTGTAAAGTGTAAATCTGCGTGTTTGTAAGAAACAAAGACGTTAAATGATGGACTGGACTCTCATTCTGACGGCACCCATTCACTGCAGAAGGATTCATTGGTGAGCAAGTGATGTAATGTAATGATGTAATGTTAAATGAAGAAACAAGCTCATTTACATCTTGGATGGCCTGAGGGTGAGTAAATTTTCAGCAAATTTTCATTTTTGGGTGAGCTTTTCCTTTAAACCCAAGTATTAAACTTCTACGCATAATTTATCCTACACTGTTTGTGCTATAGACATGAATGATATCTCAAATCATCCTGCTCGTTGAAGTGTGCTGTTAATTTATCAGACCTACGACTTCACCTGACAGACAATAAAACAACCGAAAAAATCCTGCAGGAGGGTTATGAGCCATATATAGGATCCAAACTATCACAGAGACTTGTAAAAAATCTTGGAATACATCCATAAGGAACCCTTGCAACCCATCGTGCCAGTGTGTTTTGCACAAGCAAGCATCAATATTTTTATTATAAAAAGTAAGAATGTATTATTTTTATTATTATTCAAAACATGAGAACATTCTTTAGCAGATTCAGTTCATTATTTTGTGTTTCAGAATATGTCGATATCAAGAGATTACAGTAACCAGCTTTCTGAGGCATATCCAGAGCCAGTAATAGTAATGATCATTATGATAATGATAATGATAATAATAATACTGATAGTAATAATATTGCTGATATAGGGAAGGCGGCAGAAATCTCACGATTAGTGCTTCCGGCTGGCTGCAGTTCATAGGCATCATGGGATACCATGAGCCACAACCTTATAACCTTCCCTTGCTCCAAGTGCTTTAAGAATCCTGTCACTCATCTTTATTGGCACCTTTTTGACTCCTTTCTTACTAAAAGTGTAATCCTTTACTTATTCTATTGGTTCCTTATTGTAATTCCTTATTGTAATCCAACTATTCCCAGTGTCTTTTTTTTCTTATTATTCTGCCTTGTTCTAAGCAATTATATTTACTCTCATCTTCAGTACTGACTGTTTTAGTAATAACCACCACAAAATCATCACTCTAAAGCAATGACCGTAACTTATGATAGCAATCGACTGTGTTTTTTGTAAGAAACACCACTGTTGTTTAGTTTATCAAGGTCATGCATGAAGCTGGATTCGCAATGCCTGTATCACCACAGCTAGAACATTTGGTTATACAATTATTTTTGTCTCGTTACAGTCTTTCCAACAGTTTCCACCGTCAGAGAGAGTTATGAGAAATAATTCAACAAACTGGGAGGATGTTTAACTCGTATCCTGGGCTGCTGAAAGTGCACTCTGGTTATATACGTAATGAAATGCTTATATACTATATATAAATACATATACATATATATTTAAGGTAAAAACTTCTATGGCAGTTGCAAAAAACAATGTACATTCTGAGCTGTCTTTTATAAGGTGAAATATTTTTGTAGAAAAATAAAGAAGAATGAGCAAACTTGCGTGATGAGTGCTGTAATTTCATGTCACACTGAGACTAAGCGAGCTCCACGCTGCTGCTTTTTCCACCCAGACATGACAGCTGCTGTCACACGACGTGGGAGCCGCATTCGCGCCGCTGTTTTGTGCACCACATTCACCCAGCGATGCCAAAATAACATCACGCCACCAATCACAATTGTATTAGCTCCCAGAGCTCTGTTGGTATGATATTCCTGTTTGTTTATGTGCAGACATCCTACATGTATTCTGCTTTAACTTTGTTATTTTGTGCCGGCCTTACTGTAAATCAAGGACAGCGCATATATTTCACAATGGGTATGGAAACTTAACCGTCGCCTTGGTAACGAGCCCACTCCGCGCAGTATGGGAAAATCTGTAGACGTTTGAGTGTGCATGAGCGTGTGTGTGTGGGTGCAGATACGAAGATGTTTTAAAAAGTGCTGAAAGTAAAACCAATGACTCTGAATAATGTGCTAGTTACCTTCCGATGGCGATAACAGAAATACTTTGAGCGGTAAAATGTTTCATCAAAGGTTCCACTGCTGCTAATTACCCGGCTGCCTGGAGACCGTCAGTGCCCGTAGGTAAGCGGAGTGGTCATGTTCCAGTGACTGAAACAACATCAACTCGCGGACTATGTGCTGGGATCTTGTGAAGTACCGACTGAAATTTCAATAGGTTTACCGCTTTCTTTAAAGGTGAAAAAATCTATCTATCTGTCTGTCTGTTACTTGTTTATCTATCTATCTATCTATCTATCTACTGCTTTCAGAGAGGGTGTTTATCTTTCTATCTATCTATCTATCTATCTATCTATTGCTTTCAGATAGGGTGTTTATCTTTCTATCTATCTATCTATCTATCTATCTAT